TGACATGCTCAACATTATTGTCACAAACAAATACAAAGCGTATTTCTTTTATCATAAAAAAGTAACGCATAAAAGGAAACAAAAGGCGTTTTTATGCTGCGTATTAAAAAAGATAAAGCAAAGAATTGTTCAATTAATTAACTCGAATCTTTAAGGACGAAAAAAATTAAAATACAAAAACCAAATTTTAAGAAATTAATTAAAAAAATCTGAACCTTGATAGACCGATGATTTACAGGTGAACCGGACATAAGGTTACAACTTTAGGTAAGCAACATTTTATTCAATTATGATTTATTTAATGTACTTTTCAGATAAGGTGTGTACAATTCCGAAAGTCAAGTAGACTTTCGGAATTGTACACACCTTATCTGAAAAGTACATTACATCATTGTTCAACTGAATGACGATATTGGAATGCAATGATAAATCAACGAGTAATTTAGATACTGAAGAAAACAATGTTTCTTGATCGGTGTGAGTATCCGATAATTTCAAATTCTTTAGATAAATGCTAAGATTACAGATATACACAGACAGACACGTCAACAAGATACCATCTACGTGTCATTAAATCGCTGAAATGGTTGACATAATTACAAATGCTTTGAATAAAACAAACGACTACGTTTCTGTTTCATAGTTTTTTTATTCCGTTTATCCCTCGTAGTAAGCTAAATATGTGTTACAATTGGGTTCACCAGTTAAGCGGCAGCGGGGATCGAACCAGCGTTCCACGAGTCGGCCAGTCCCATACCTTCACCGTTTCGTCGCTATGAACAATCCGAATTAGAAACAATCCGAATTTTGTAATGCCTACATCTTTTTCGAATAAAAATTTAATACTATGACATTTTTCTTACAAAGCATCCTGCTAATTTTACCGGGTCAAAAATGTGAACTGTTTTCAATTTAATAGTTACATCGCAGCCAGACTGTCTGGACTACAAAGCAGACTAATTAGCAAACGACGTGCTGATGCTCTCTTCGTACTTTCAACCGAACTCGGCTCGAATGCGTTATCTCACAGCTTAAAGGTTATCTCAGCCTTATTTACCATTAATTAAAAGCTTACTTTTTATCACGTGATTGTGTACTTGTTTACTCTGACTGCTGGACTCGCTGTGATTTTTGGCAGTATTCAGCAGAAATAATTAAGTCACAGTGTTTATTGTTACTTAAAAGTGGTTTATGAAAAAGAACTATAATGACAACTTTATACAGTTGAAAGAGGAGATATTTGAAGGGTCAAAATTGAAACTTTTACATATAATAATTTATAATTATTTGAATATTAGTTCAAAATTTTATTTTGTGTAAGAAAACGTATCCATTGGCAAGTAATGGTACTAAATCTAAATAAATATTTGGTAGACATGAAGAATGTGAATGCGTGTAGAATGTGGTAATGTTGTAGCCTATTTTTTACAGCAGGACTAGGCAAATCCGAAATAAATATTAAAATCTATGCGAAGGCATGCGGAAAGGCTAGTTTTCAATCTACAAAAAAATATTTAGGCTGTTTAATAACTAGTTTTACTTTGTTATACAGGGTGTTTGGCGCATCGTGTGCCAAAATTATTTGGCGGATAGAATAGGTCATTTTCTATATTTTCAGCCCCCATAACACGTTATTTATAGCCATGTAAACTTAAATGTTCAGTCCATTTTTAACTTTTCGGAAAAGTTCAAAGCTGAATTAAAAAAAAACTAGATGATATTTGCCAGTAAATTTAGATTTGATGCAACCCTATATCAATGCACGTCAAAACAAAATATTTACTTTGAGGCTACGCTTAGTAGTTTTTTTTTAAATCGAAATTAAATGATGCGATTTGGGTATTTTGGTGAAATTACTAAAAAACTTAATATAAAAGTAGCCGCCTGACATGGAACGTGTTATGGGGGCTGAAAATATAGGAAATGACCCATTCTATCCGCCAAATCATTTTGGCACACGATGCGCCAAACACCCTGTATAATACTATTTAAGATTTTGAAAGTTCACGGAACTCTTATTCTGCTTCAGAACAATCATCGCCTAGTACGAGTTTGGATTAGCGCAAAATCTAAAATACACGCAAATCTTTCATCTTTCAACCGGCCGCATGAATTGGAGCATGCTTAATGCTTATCAATGGCTACAACAAAACGGATTACCGGGTGTAGATAAATAAAACATTCACTTGAAAATAATCTCTACAATGAAAGTATGAGTATACAAACTCCGGTCTGAATGATCGGTGAGTCATGGCTGCCTTTCGCTGAAACGATGAGGCATGGCATCGTCATAGGGACCACTCAACGTGTGGTATAAATTATGTTTATGGATAGGCGAATAGTCGCGTCTCCCGACGAGTCATACAAACGGCAGGAATTCCCAAATTAGATACGCACATCCCATTTGGTTAAATTGTTACTATGGAGTGTTTAATCTGTTTAATGAGTTAATCTGGATAATAAGTTACCTACAAACGCTCATTCAATCAAAACTAGAGTCCTATTCTGAATTTTTGTTTCTTCTTCTTTTTTGTAGGTAGGTCGTTATACCTATAGTTATACTCGTAAGCCCCTATAAACGTTTGAAGTGCCCTGCGAAGCACGGAAGTTATATTCCCTTCAATCTAGTTTATCTAGTAAAGTCATAGTGATTTTATACCGTGTCCGGCCTGAACTCGAATTTAGAACCAAGAAAACTTAACTTTTCTTTCTTCTTCTTCTTTTCGTGTCGCCAACATACCTACACAGTGTCAGCCTAAAACTCTTCTGATTAGGTGTTATTAAGGAGTATTCACAGACTTGATCAAACGCAAAAGCTCATAATTCCTAACATACTTAATTATCTATGTTATTTTTAGTAGGCACTATCTGATAGTGAAGTGCTGATCATAGTGTAATTTTCCTGAAAAGTTGCAATCTAGCAACCGTAATCAGGTCGACCAAAGGGCAGACAGGTGGTCACGCTACACTATCCTGCCAGACCGTGGATAACATTTAATCAATAATGTAAGATAGGTGACAGCTGACGAATACAGATTACACAGTTCATTAAGAAAGAGATATGGCACGGGCAAACCCCACAATCTGACATGCCGAGCATATCAATTGAATTTTTAAGGCGATTAGTGACGCAAAATGAGGTGCCTCTGTATTTGATGTTGTGAGCTATTGTTTTAATTAACTATACAATGAAATAGATTTTCCCTGTATAATCAATTAATTATTTCGTTAGTTCTGATTTTTTACAATTGTTTAATCAACCTACATTATTAGGAAAACATGTGACATTTGACCAAATAATTATATCGGTCAAGTAATAAATAACAAATAATTTATAAGTGTTGTTTTAAATGAGAATTATTGAGCTGTTACTTTCGGTAATTCCTATGAGCCTATTAAATGAAATTTGCTGTATCCTATTGGTTCAAGGTTCACCTGCCATTTTACTAACTTGACTGAATAACTATTGTTTACATGATTTTGAAATATAATTTATTTCAGGCGATTTGATAAGAACGGGAAACCACGGCAACAGCAGATAAAAGATTTGTGTAATATTAAATCAATTGCAACCAAAGCGTCACTGTGACAAACAACCATACATAATTGGTTGTTCTTATTATTAATAAAACCTAGACCTAGTTTTGCATACTATTATTATAATAGTTAATTTTGGCTGTTAGCTGTTTTAGTGGCATAGTAAATATTTATAATATATTGTTAATTATACTTAATTAACTTCCTATTTAATTAACTACACAGATCAACTATTTTGAGAACATAAATTATAACTATGTTCAAATGATAAGAGTGTCAAATTGTTTTTCTCATCCTAAAAAAATTTAGCAACTAAAATTATGTAAAAAATTACTTAACGTTGTTTTTATAGCTTTAAATTACCTTCACTATGGGCTTACTAAAGTTATAAATGGTTAACTTAAAAAAAAATACTCACATAGCAGAAAATACTTATCACGAACTTAAATTACTAAAATGTTAAAACATGATAAAACTGTACAATTTTCTGTATATTTGTTTAAAATATTCAAAATTAAGAAGCTTTAAGTTTATAACTCCATAAAGCAAACTCTCAAAGATTAGTATGTGGAAAGTGTGGATACCGAACGGTATCGGATTTGAGACGTCAAATACCAGTAAAACTGGTCAAGGTCGTCAAAAGTTTCTTGTTGATATTTTAGTTCATAGGTTACACATAAACTCAAATAATATGATAATTTTAGCTTCCTCGGATAATTTTATAGAGCCTTCTGGTGCGATGGTGTAAGATGGCATAACCATAACAATAGGCTAAAAATAAAAATAAAATGCTAATTTTTTGAAATTTTATATAATGCAACGAATTATTACCTAGATTCTTAATTAATACTTTTATTCCTTGACCAATTTTAAAATTCTTATTACTTACTTAAGTTTAAAAATAATAACTTTAGCAAGGGTAGATATTTTTACTGGCAAGTTATTATTAGATTCAATTGCTTTGGCGCATGTTGACTTGCTACTCGCGAGGTTCTTGCCTCCAACCTGCAAGGAGTGCGTTGACAAAGAGCGCATTAATTAACAATTTCAATTAATCCCAAGGCAAATTCTTGGAACAGTTAAATATTCATTAACGTATGCGTACGTTTCTTAGTATTGGTACGTCGCTTGATTATTTTACAAAAAACTCAATGGTTTCACGTAATTATAGATAAATAAGGAAGATCGTGCTAATTTAACGGTGTGTTTTAACACGACTATAAGGACAGGTATGTTAATATATTTGTCAAATCGCACATTATTTAACTTGCCCCAACATAACGAGGTTACATCAACTCGAGTGCCTACTCGCGCACTTATACGTGTACGAGAAGTTTCAACTTGTTTTGTTGCTATGCCAGTAACTTTCTAATATAACATAGACATAAAAAATACATATTTTCAAATCGAAACGTATGTGTAAAATAAACCGGTCGTATCAGATAAATAGTGATCAAACTCACCTTAAAATACGAATTGTCGTCCCTCCGAGCGGGTAAATGGTAAATAATGAACTTCACTGTGCACTGTTGGAGAAGCTCGCTCGCGTAAGCACGGCGAGTGAGCTTAAGTTCGCGTGTGTGAGGCGGTAAAGTTTTCGGGAAACTTGTCGGTGTCGCGCTCGGAAGCGCTGGTATGGGCGCGCGGCGTCGGAGCGGCGCGTGCACTGAGTGGCGGCGAGGCACTGCTGCGGGACGCTGGCCTGCCCCGCGCGTGCGCCTGACCTGTCGAGCAGCCTCCCGCGCGCCGCAACCTGCAGCGCTGCACCGGCTCGTAAACAATACAGACCACACACGCACCAACCCCAGCCTATCAACATAGTATTTTAGCACCAATAAGTCCCGATAACTTGACCCCGCGTGACAGATTGGTTAGATGCTGTCAACGCCAACTACCAATGCTCCAGTAAAATAGAAACTGCAAGCGGTTTCCTTAGCATTTCACAGATTTCAAAGGCATCCTGAATTTTGTGATACTGAAATACAAACAAGGAAAAAGATTATTAAACTGACTTTCTAATTAACTTACAACTTGAAGCCTTATTGTACCTTTGAACCTGGTGCTTTCTAGCTTTCGACCCTATCTGATATTTTTTTTGTTTTGATGGCAATAGGTGGATAGCAAGGAAAACTTAGCTTTCACCTAACTTATTATTGCTTTTCATTTTCGTACTAACTTTACTTTTAAGTTTTATTATTGGTTAAAAATCATTTAAAAATCTTATGAGAACGTTTTCGACTTGTACGCGGACGAAGTCGCGGGCAAAAGCTAAGTAGTTGTAAACATAAATTAGGTAATTGATGACTTAATTTTAGTTTTTACATGAAACTTTACAAAAAAAATTTTTACATTCTTAAAGTGCATAAATTATAATAAGCTGCACCATAATCAGATTTAGTATTACTATAGTAATGTACTTGGAGATATTCTCGATGTTCCTGGAATTTATATAATTGTCAAATAACTTCTGGTTACTGTTTATTACTTATTTTTCTATGTCATAGACATGTGACCTTATTGCGGAGTTAATTATTCCTGTTTCCCCTTTTGTCTTGCTTTATCCTGTTGTTTATTCTATCCATGACGTATGCCACATTATTTTTAATAAATGTCACTTCAAATTTTGCTACCCATCACTAAACTTCACTTTTTGCATCTTCTATAAATTAGTATCTATTAATCCTTGGGATTAAAAAAATAATTTATACTAAGACTGAGTTGCACCATTTTACTTTAAACTGTCAAACTCCATACAAAAAGCACCGGTTAATGTTATAGTTACGGTTAAAATAAGATGGTGCAACTCAGCCTTTTAGTAGCAATAAAATGGGCTGTCACTGTATTGACTGCCAATTTCGTTTAGTAGGTCACCTTATCACCACAACCTGTCGCATCCTGTCTTGGCCTGAATCGGAACATAGACAGCCTTATCAAACGTACCAGATAACAAATACCTATTATTATGACCAATGACTCATATACATAAGTTTTCAGTAACCCAATACGCAACAATGTTGTGAAACTCAGAGAAAATATGGCGCAAAAGTGTGACGTTTCAGCAATGACGTAATAATGATTATTTTCATGTTATTTCAGTTTATTATCAATTTAATAGTTACATAAAGAAACATTTCGTGCCACAATATTATTAACATGCCATAATATTATTATCGTTTACTATCAATTACCTTTATTCAAGATATACCTAATCATGAAATTCATGAATCACATTACAATCATCATATCAAATGGAATGTTACGTCATTGTTTATCTTATCTGGAAAGAATTGCGTGAGAGATAAATTTAAGAAAATTATCCGTTTTAGAAAGACAAAGCGTGTTAATTTTTTAATAAATCAGAAGATTTGTCTAGTCTAGAATAATATTTTGCTATAAATTTTCTAATCGTAATAATATTTTTCTCATTCAGACTAAGTATTTACTACAAATAAATACTACTTGTACTTACTACCAGAAGCCCCTGTGACCACCTGTGATTAGAAAAAGAACTTCTCGAATCTCAAAATCAAAATCAAAATTTTCTTTATTTGTTTAGACTAATTAAATTAGTTATTGCAAATCGTCAAATGCTCTTAAGGAGCCTATACATGTCTCATTCTTTTTTTGCCCTACCAGCGCTCAGGTACTCAGATATTACGAGTGCGATTCTCAGGTGGGACACACTGCAGGCGTAAAAAAAACCCACTTTATATACGAGTATTACTGTTCCTAGTTTGATCATAGCCAGCTTCTTTGAAAATATATCAAAATACTCAAGCGTTATTAAGCTGACTACGATTTACGAACGTAAAACTCTTTCCGTAAGAGTGAATTCGCTTTGCCTAACGCGGATTACTTAGTTAGATACATTAGAAAATATATAAATCAGAAGATAAGCCCTTGTACTAACCAACCATAATAATACTCATTCATCCGAAATAACAATGCTTTTTGTCAAGTCGACAAAAGCCCGAAACTTATGATTGTATAACGGATGACTTTTCTTTAGTCGGTATCCTTTTATTTACTGTATTTGCCTCATAGGAAAAACACTTTTAGTATGAAAATAAGGCTTACATTTAGAAATGTAGAGGTAGTTAAAGGTAAAAAAAATAATATTGTGTGCAATTTGCACCACCTTACTTTAACCGTAATTATAACCTGAACCGTTTTTTTAATGGAGTTGGAGTAACTTTTTGACTTTTTTTTATTCACAACGAGGAAGCTCTTGGCCTGTGTCTCACCTGATCAGGCCGAAGGTGGAAGCGAGCTTCACCCGGAATCCTCAACCACAGAGGAACTGGCTATCTTACCTCTAACTGCCGGAACACGACAATGCTGTTAACATTGTTGTTATGGCGACAGACTTATAAAGACGGTGGTATTGGTGGTAGCTAGCCAGGCGGACTTGGAACAAGCCCTACCACCAACCAAACCGAACAGAATCTGCCCCCACTGAGAATCGAACCTGGGACCTCTGCGTCTGAAGCAGGTGATCTAACCACTAGGCCACAGAGGCGGCACACGTACCTGAAAGCTACAAGAAAATTCACCTTAAGACCATTGAAGCTTCTCTATTGGGAAACTTGAAATTTTTTTTTTTTTTGTTTTTTTTTTTTTTTAAAAGATTATTACCAATTTGTATTGTCCAAATTACTAATAGTCCCATTACTTGTATAAGTATTAATTTATAAAAATACGAAATAAAATCGTTCATTCTCTGCATGTAGATTGCATGCAGTCTTATATGCGGCACATATTCTCCCATTATAACTTCACTCTATCACTGCTTCGGGATCAGGACCATTATGTGGGCTTGTTTTAGATTCCTATACTAACAGGCTGTACGTACGTAATAAATTTTGATAAATTACATTATTTATCTAAATATCGCTGAAAAAGCTTAGCAAATTTTAAATTAGCTTAGTGAAGCTTATTGACGGATTCATAGCCTGGTGATTCGCATACTATTCCAAAGGTCGCGGGTTCGATCTTCGCACAATATGAACATGTTTTTACAAAAACATATCTTTTTGTGTTGAACTTAATGTTTTCTGTGTCTAAGAATGTTCACATAAAAGTACATAAGTAGGTATGTCTATGTCCGTTGTCTGTACATACTGAGTACCTACCTAAATAGATACAGGTTGACAGAGCACCAAGCTAAACACTGCGGCTTTGTTACAAAAATGTAACAAGCCTTGCATAATTTTAAAACGAAATGACACACTGCAAAAATATCCAATGATTTAATTTACCAACGCGAAAGCGTCTCGGGACATGACATACGAACTCACTCTTGCTGACGGGCGAACAACGCTGCCAACTAAGGTTGCGGTTTCGCAACTCACACTTGACGCCTTGTGAGTCTCAGATCATTATCTGACATTATCGATCGGCGTGATTAACTACACTAAAGTGATAATGGCGTCAGTAACAACCGGCTCCGGCCAGACATGCGCCAGATAGATCATACACCGCAAATTGCCTTTGTTCAGTCTATTGACGTTTACCTGTTACTTGACTCTAGGGGCCGATTTCACCATTCGCACAAAGCCGAGTTTAATTTAAAGCCGAGTTAAAAAAATCATACTCTTAACTTTCTTCAAAAGCTAACTAATGTTAATCAATTAAATACCTAACCTATGCAAACAATGCTCTTACATTAAATAAATGCCGAAAGTCGACTGTTTCTTAGAATTTTGTAATAATTTTGTACCGCCTACTCTATTCTCATTTTGGCCCTAAAGTTAACTGAAGGAGAATGCTAAATGACAATAAGTACGCCTTATGTACTGTGCATAACATACGTTTTAAATATATAAATAAAATTATTATTCACGATAAAATCAAGCTCAAAACTTTCTTTAAAAGCTCATAAAACTCATTTTATTTTTGCAAGTAGGCTTTTAAAAAGCACTTTAATGCATAAACTAATTTGAAACGTTGATTTAACTCAATGCGATTATCTTCAATGGTGAAATCGGCCTTTACCTTAGTTAAATCAATCTGTAATAACACATAACTGCCACCTAAGGCTTCACTTGGCGCTGGCGCGACAAACTCGTCACCGCACAGACGGACAAATTACCTACAAGAAAATGCGAGTTTTCTAACGCAATCGTTAGCAGACAGATTTCCCAATGAACGATACTTATAAAAATTGTTTGAAAAGATTTATAAACTTACCTATATAAAACCTAATATAAAACCAAGTCCTGTCATGGTACACAAATGGTGTCCCAAAATCATAGAAAACTCATTTTCTCTATAGACTTTGACTATCCTTAATTCAAAATTTTCATGGCTGACCTTGCCACTTGCACTTTTTGCCCATGGGTACTTACGGTTACATCTATTGTTTTGGTGCAGCATGATTTTTCTCAAATTAGCAAACCGTGAGCGAAATTTTATAGTCCTGTCATGGTACACTATAACATAAATTATCTCATACTCGTAGGTGTCTCAAAATCATAGAAAACTCATTTTCTCGATAGACTTTGACTATCCTTAATTCAAAATTTTCATGGCTGACCTTGCTACTTGCACTTTTTGCCCATGGGTACTTACGGTGACATTTATTGTTTTGTTGCAGCCTGAATTTTCTCTCATAAAATTACCGAACCATGAGCGAAATTTTTCAGTAGCTTTCAGGACTATGGGTAAGAATATTTTTATCATAAAAAAATTGCATTTATTGCAACCAAGTTAGTTTGTTGAATAGGTAATCGTATTTTCCACCATGGTTAACAAACATCCCATTGCTATTCATAACACAAAACAACACTCAACAACTTAACGATCGACTTCAATCCCATCAATTACCACGTTACATAAGTTTCATAA